TAGAAAAAACTGTGAGACCTAATAAATCACCGAGCAGCAGAACATCACAATGATAAACAATGCCACACCACTCTTAACTAAGAAACCAAAAAAAAAAAAAAAAATAAATAAAATCGTTACAACCCCGAGACCCCTACACGCCTCACCGTGTGAATCACATATCAAAAAAACTCCTTTTGATTGCACAGCCAATGCACACACGCACTCGCGGAAAAAAAATACAAACGACAGATTAATAAACCACGACTACGGTGCGAAACGCGAAGAAAAGCGGGTGGATGATAAGCTGCTCGCGGGGCGGAGATACGTCGCGAACTGAAAGGAAACAGCCGGTCTCTCGGCGCAGTTGGCTGTGTGTAAAATACACACACACACGCGCGACCGAGTAGCGCCGGAAACTCCCGAGAGCCACTCGCGCCGCGCGCGCAAGGTGCAAGAAAGTAGTTACACGCACACCTATAAGCGTATACGTGAATCCAAAAAATCCGGTCCTGTATATTAAAAAGCGAGAGCAAGTTGTGTTCCCCTTTTCCTCCATCACTTTTTTTTATCCCTTATTTTCGATCGGTCTCTCATTTTTTTTTTTTTTTTTTTTGGCGAGTCCCTTTTTCACGTATATACCCATACATCCGCCAGTTTATCTCGGGGCAATTCGGTCGGCTACTTGCCGCTCGACATAATATACAACACAACATGCTCCGCGGGCCGATACCGATTTTTAATTACCAGCTTAGCTGGCGGCGTTGTTTCGACGAGCCTCAGCGGGGTAGCTCGTACGCACATACCCGGGTTACACTACCGCCAGGCGCTGATCTAGGATAATTATCGTAATGCGTATACGTGCAAACGCGAGAGTTGCATCGGAGAGGGATTACACGTTGCAGAGGGTCGCGGGTATACATGAATAATTCAAGGCTCGTACTTGCGGTTGCAAGAAGATTCAAAGATCGTTATTCCCGCGAGTGCAGATATCACGGCTCATCGCGTCGAAGGACGAATTCGTAGCTCTTGAATGATTTAGATCATATGAGGAGGAAGAGCGACGAAAATTGCAAAAGGGGCAGTCGACTCATCGTCTGCGTATAAACGAATGGATAGAGAGAGAGAGAGGAAACCTCGGGTATTATTTTATTACGCCAATCGTGCAGCTGCTGAAGAAAGAGGGAGGGAGGGTATGAAAAGCAATCAGATCGATGGATATTCAGGTGCAACGCCGAGTTTTGTTACCGGAATCGGTATCGAGGCCGAAAAATTGCGACACACCGCAGCTCGCTTGGTGCGTTATACTTTTTCTCGCTCGCCTATTTTTTCCCTCTCTCCCCCTCTCTCTCTATTTCTTTGTCGAGCACAGAAAAGTAGAGTACGCAAGGCATTATGCATGGCCTTGCAAATCGCGGCGCCGTAATTTCAGCACCTGCCAGACTAACGGCCGATCGAATTTCACGAGTTATTTAACTCGATATTCTGCGGTCGATTTTTCAAATCACGCTCCATTGTGGTGTTGCTACGTGGTTTGTTGTACTGGTGATTGTGGACCTGCATCCACCAAATCATAAGGTCGATCTCGTGATTAAGAAATCGGTAATATCGGTAAAATCGTACTGGTCATAAAATTTACTAGAGTATGTGTATAAATCAAAATTGGTACGTTTTCCAGGAAAAACAAGGAAACTTTATCTGTAATAATTAACTGCTGATCTAAAAATATCCAAAAGCGCACTAGCCATCGCAAAGAGCACAATGTCACCCGGGTGTACGTGTGTACGTATACCCAGGCGCGATAACTCGCCATAGAAGCTAGCCCAACTCTCTGTTTCCTCTCCGATAGACGCAGAGAGATTTTCTCCGATCCTGTACACATACGGTGTATACACACACACACAGTCTATAGCGTCAAGATCATCGGCTTGGCGATCCATCATCGGTTTATCGCTCGCAGATGCTGCTGGTGCTTTTCTGCCTCGGCCGCATGACAAATAGCCCCGACACGTGTGTGCATACACGTACTACACACGCAGCTCGTGCCCGTGTACGTATATGTATTTCACCTATCGGTTGTTTTCTTCTAACGACCGGCCGGCCAGGAACTTTCGCGACGCCTCCAGCATCCGAGTCCAAGAGGGATAAGAACGAGTTTTCGCGCTCCGTACGAGCGACTACCGTGTTGCAGTGCAGCGGAGGTGATAAATTCGCTAGAGGGTGGGGGGGGGGAGGAAGAAATTCATGGAGTATTTATAAGTTGTAAAATCCAGCCGGGGCGTAAGTAACGGTCAGGGCGCGATAAAAGAAAAGGGGGAAATGATGATACAGGGGGAGGAGACGTGATGCTGCGACGTGTATATAGGTACACGCGAAGGCTCTAATTTACACTTCTCGCGTCCTTGTGCTCGTGTGAAAATGCACGAGAGAGGATTTGTACACGTAGGAGGGGCGGGTGAAGGGTATAATAATCGAGGGAATGATGGTCGCGCGCTGATTTCGCATATTGGAAGGGGAAGTGGGGTGCGTTACTCGCGTGGACGTGAAAATGAGATGTACGTGGGTTCACCGCGCCGAGATGTACATGACGAACTGCAGCGTGTACGATACCGAGGCTACAGAAATGGCTGCAGTTCTTTTTTTCTGTTACGATGATGACGCGTCTAGGGCTCTGATGGTGTTATTAAGGTCAGCGGAATATAATTTGCTCTCGGATGCGAAATGACGACGTACTGCTGCGTCGGTGAGTTATTGCACCGATGCGCAATGTAGGCATAGTATCTGATTGTTAATGCGGTGATTTTTAATTTTTTTTTAGTTCATCACTACTTTCCGAATTACTCGAATACATTGTAGCACTTTGCTGTGTCAACAATGAAAAAGCCATGTATTTCAATTGTAATTATTTGTAAGTATTCACTGATGAACAATGTGGTGCGACGTTTTTTAAGAGAATACAATTACTTTTCTAGAGATCTTTGGAATTGAAAAATTAATTACACCAACAAAATTATACGGCACTCCCGTTTCTGGTTAGACTGTGACGTTGAAAAGTGCTGCGAAAAGATTGATTCGAGAAGCTGAGCTTGGAGCTTCGAGTAACTGGCAAAAATCAAATAAACCACCTCACCCCTTAGCCGGATACATGTGTCAGCGCGAGCCGCGGAAGAAAAGGTAAGCGGATATGGAAGAGCGAGCTTTGAAGTCTAAAAATAGTTGGCAAAAATTATTGTAAGCAAGCAGCGAGGGCGATAACGCAAATAGTTGATTATTTATAGCGCATAGTTTGTTTTACCGGGGATATGATGTTTGGAGGGATTGAAAAATTTCTACCTTTGGAAAAATACACATCCCACCCGTACGGCCCATTCCTTCACTCGTAGTTAATTCCTCCCATCTGTTGCCAAACAAAAAATGATCGGAAAAAAAAAAAAAATCCGACCTGTAGCAAAACCATCCATCGACTCGCAGCTATGTGCTGCCTCGGATGATGAATAAAAAAAAAAGCACAGCTTATTCGTCCGCGGCTAGACGACGATTTAATCCCAATCGTTGGTGATGGCTGCGTGCGCGCTGGGATTCTGAATTTCCCATCGGCTGCGTGCCAATGAAAAAAAATGTACCAAACGAGAGCTTTTGCCCCCCACAGCTCCTCTCTCGCCCTTTCGGGACGATCGAGTGCCTTTGTATGCGCGTTTCGTGCGCTAGGAAATCTCGTGGCATGTAGCATCGCTCGGGATATCGCTTGGGTATATAGGTAATGCAAATACACAACTGAAAGCTGCGTCGTTTTGACTCTGAGCTTTCGTGACAGTCTCGCGAGTAAAGTTTCAAGTGATAAATTTGAGTTTCGACTTTTGATTTCAATGATTGTCATTTGTGAGTTTTGAGGTACACCAATTTGTCTTGCTCATCATTTCCCGCTGCAAATATAAACGCGGGAAAAAGTTTGTTTGGATCTCGAAGTAAGTCGTTACTTTTCCAAACTTTGCGGTTATTATTTTTTACGACAAAACAAAGGTGGAAACTACAGCACTCACGACCGAGCTAATGACTGATACTTGCACACTCTTTTTTTTTACCTTTTAATTTTGTACATACGCGTACGCCTGTGTATTATTATTATTGTTATTATTGTTATTATTGTTATTATTATTATTATTATTATTATTATTATTATTATTATTATTATTATTATTATTATTATTATTATTATTATTATTAGTGTTTTTATGCAGCTTTTAAAATTCAAGAAAGTGCATTATACCTATACGCCATCTCTTCCTGTACTACGCAACCTTCACTCTGATCGTTACGATACGTTGCTTAAATGCTGCTTTGGGTATATGGCAATTATTGTATCATTAACGATATATTTTGTCGTTAAATGTATTCAAGTATAAGTGACTTTCAAAATCATTCCTGTCGTAGCACGTTCATTTACAAAAATATAGTCGTCTAGATATTATTTTTCAGTTCATCTATAACAGCTCAAGGCATAAGTCAAGCTTATGAATACCTTATTTTAACTCTTATAGTGATATTCGTTAAATAGCAAATGTATACAACTTTGATTTACCTTGCGTAATGTAAGAAGCAAACGAAAAAATCAATTTTAAATTGTGACAAGATAGTAAACCACCTTTTTCTCCATTATAGAATAAAAGCATAATTAATAGTGGAAGATAGTACCAGTAAGGTGAGTTTGTCGGTAGAAAAATGCGTATATATGTTGATTACGTTAACCACCTTTGTTTATCTACAGCACAAACACGTGGATTATACTAATCCCTCAGGCTTTCTAGCCTCACTTTTTTCAACTTTCGAATACCCTTAATATTTTTTTACAAATCTTATAATTATGTAAAGGATACTATTAAATAATATTTTTCAAGTAACACGTTTTCAAACCAAATAAATTATTTCTTTCTAAAATTAATTTATATGAAAGACAAGTAAAAACCAGTGATTGATTAGTTAAATTTCACAGTACGTTACCAATTCCACAACGTGAACTGGTTATGGGAGCATCGAGCACCAAAGTCAACGACAACCGCAAGCATAGTCTCAACTACAACAGCAGTAAGTCATTACATCAATGCCATTCATGCAAGAAAATGTTCATATCTCCCAGAGATATTGTAATACATATGCACAGCCACCACGCCATTAATAGTACAGAAACTTTTAGCCAAAATAGTGATCTAGAAGTACATGAGCGTTCCCACAGAAATAAGACCTTCTATCTCTGCTCCACATGTGCAGAAACTTTTAGCAAAAAGTGCGATCTGGAGATACATGAGCGTTCCCACAGAAATAAGGACTTCTACTTCTGCTCCACATGTACAGAAACTTTTAGCCAAAAATGCGATCTAGAAATACATGAGTGTTCCCACATATATGAGAATTCATATATTTGCCCCACGTGTGCAGAAACTTTTAGCCAAAAGTGCGATCTGGAGATACATGAGCGTTCCCACAGAAATAAGGACTTCTACTTCTGCTCCACATGTGCAGAAACTTTTAGCCAAAAGTGCGATCTAGAAATACATGAGTGTTCCCACATATATGAGAATTCATATATTTGCCCCACGTGTGCAGAAACTTTTAGCCAAAAATGCGATCTGGAGATACATGAGCGTTCCCACATAAATGAGGACTACTACCGCTGCTCCACATGTGCAGAAACTTTTAGCCAAAAGTTCGATCTGAAGATATATAATAATTGCTCGCACATAAAAGAGAAAATAAATCTGGAAACTACGTTTGAGAAAAAGAACGAGAACTACACCCAATGCGATTCCTGTGAACTAATTTTTCACGAGAAAAAAGAAGCTCTGCACATAAGTAAGTATCACTCATATCGTCTCCTATGCACAAAAACGTATGGTCAATTAAACAAACTTGGCGAGAACATGGGATCCCAACACAACTATCCTTGTCATTTATGTCAGCAAACTTACTCCTCATCTACTATTCTCGCGAGACATATGTTACAGGTTCATAGTCAAAAGAATGATCTAGAGATACATGAGCCCTCTCACATAAAAGAGAAAACATACTTGGAAACTACGTTTGAGAAAAAGAACGAGTCCATGAAACACGAGCATGCACATTTGATTGTAAAGCTCCACGACTGTATGAAAAATTCACCAGCTGATAAAAAAAAAACTGTAGCACAGTCGGATCATATTCACAAGAACAAGGAGCTCTTCCACTGTACCACTTGCTCAAAAAACTTCAAAGATGGAGACCAACTTGCACATCACATGATTACCCACATGGTCACAAAACCTTACGACCAGATCAGTGAACTAGCGAGACATAGTAACTCTTACACGAGCGACAATTCCTGTCTTGGTGCGAAAACCTTTTGCCAAAAGAGTGATCTGAAAAAAAACAAACCTACCGATATAGAGAAGAAACTCTATCCCTGTGGTTTTTGCCCAAAAAGATTTAGTCAAATCGACAGTGTAAGAAAACACCTAGATTCCCAGCACTACGTCCAATGCGATATATGTGAACTAATTTTTCATCACAAGAAAAATCTAGCACTGCACATAAGTGAGTATCACTCTTATCTTTGTATTTCATGCTCAAAAACATATAATCAACTAAACCAACTTGACGAACACATGAGATCCCAACACAACTATCCTTGCCATTTATGTCAGCGAACTTACTCCTCACCTACAATTCTCGCGAGGCATATGCTACAGATTCATAAAAAATGTGCATAACGTGAGATCTTGCTCAAGTCTCATGTCTTTATTACCTTCTGTCTTATGGATATGATAGAAAACATCGATCTTCAAACTGTCATTTTTCTCAATGATAGACAATTGTTTTTATAGTATACATATATGTTTAAAGAAAAGTCATTTTGTAGTGACTACAATCTAGACAATGATTGCACTGAAAGTTGATACGTTTAAGTACAAAAATATTTTTGTGATAGCAATGTTTTCGCTTTAATTTTCTTGTGGCTTTGTGCTCAATCGTGAGTCTTGTGTAAAATTTATATATTTCTGGTGAGCATTTCATAATCCTAATAATTCATATACTACCATGATCGCTTCAAGAATAGTTACTAGCTGCACGTAAATACGTTTTTTTTTGTATGATTTATTTTACATTTTGAAGATGTTTCAATAAGAGTAATTTTACAGTTGATTTTAATCCATGCAAAATTTACTATTATTATTATAACAAAAAATGTATTATTATAAATGTAAGTAAACATGATTTATACTACGATATGTATGCATACACTACGACCAATTACTGTAACTAAACTTCACGATGTAAGTCAATAAAATTGTGTTCATTAAATCTTGTGCAAATAAAATAGATTACCATGAGAAACAGGTACATTTTACCAAATAATCTGCAGAAATAAATAAATTTAAATAAAACTAAACCTTTAGTAAATCTTTATTCACAATCAACTTAGAGCTAATTTTAACTCTTAACAGCTGTCATCCTTAGTGTACCAAGAATCTGCTAGTATCTATTATTGTTCTCGTTAAAATTTTTTTTTTTCAATTTTGAGGTCAGTTATTAGGAAGATTGAGAAAACTACTTTTCTCTAAAACATACTTGCTCTAACTTTAAAATTAAACTCTTGGAAATAAGAATAAAGGCTTTTTGGTGGAAAACTGTTATACAGGATTGTTTTTTATCTCTTCGTTTATTTCTACTGGAGCAATACGTGCAACTACACATAAATTGTCTATTTTTGATCTGAAACAAACTCTCACCTTAGTATGCGATAGTGGCGGCTAAAGTGATACTCAAATATTATTGTTATCTGATTGGTCTCTTTGGTAAGTAAGTGGACAATTCCGTTAACGACTTTAAACAGTTTTGTTACACCTAAATGACTTTAAATATAGGAATGAACCAACGTAAGCTCAACTCGCTGTCCCATGTTTTTGAACCATTTTTTAAGACTCTTTCTTACAGTATTTTATTTATTTAGCTAAAATTATTTATAGTTCATTACTGCCCAACGGTTTACTACTGGACAACTTTTTGGCAAAATCGATAGCCCATCATTAAAAAAAAAGAAAAGGAAAAAAAAAAGATTGTTCTATGCTTGGCTGCGGTAGAAGCCACGAAATTACTGCGGCTCAAATTGACTTTTTTTTCCTCGCGGCGCCCTCCCATACTTACACTCTCGCTCTCTCTCTCTCTCTCTCTCTTTACGACAAGCGGCTGTGTCGTCTATCGTAAAATCCGCCAATTGCACGCTATACCACCAGCCGCATAATAGCAGCGCTAAGCAATTTTATGTACCCACTCTCTACGCCGCTTTTCGTGCAAACTTATAGATATAGCTCGTAACACGACAAGGAAAGGGGCCTGGGCTGGTGGTGAATAAATTAATATTACAAAACTGTAGGCCACACTCTCTCTCAAAATTCATAGCTCTTAATTGATCCGAGTACTCCTATAATCGAAACCGTATAGAGGCGAAAAAACACAATACCAGCGGGTTTAATAACTCTCGCAGTTATTCACAAAATTATCAGCCTCTTTGTCCTCTCTTGAGTAAAATTAACGCTCGTGTGGCAAGCGGACGAAAAAATACGTACTTTCGAGTATGAAAAAAAAAAAAAAAAAATTCCCAGCCTTGTCTCAACCTCGAAAAACGCAAATCCCAAACATCCTCCAGAGCTCGCGTGCCCATAACGACCGCACATGTGAAGAAAAGCAGCAGCATAGCAGCCAAGGAAAAAAAAGAAAAAAAGGACCGCTAGTACAACACAAAGAACCGACTGCACGAATTTAACGTACACACACAGTGCGCGTGTGCCTCCTACTTAGCCTCGATACCCATATATACACACGCGCTCGCTCGTCGCATGCCGGGCATAAATACATATGCAAAGAAGAATAAGAAGAAGCGGCCCACGCGCTAAATTCGCCGTCGTTGTAAAAGAGGATGCGCCGGATTAGCTGAGGGAACGCGGTGCGTGCGCGCGAGCCTTTGGAAAGAAAAAGAGAAGCTGCTATACGATCGAAGAAAAGAGGGAGGATGATATTATAAAAAAAAAAAAAAAAAAAAAAAAGAAGAAGAAGAAAAAGATGCGTGCAGCGGCGGGCTCCGCTACTCGTTTCGTCCTCTTTCTCTTTCTCCCCGTTAAGTACATTGCGCCGCGAAGTAATGAATGGACGTGGACGTGTGTGCCTGCGAGAAGGAGAAAAGTCGCACGGGGCCATATAGGTACTTTTGTGCGTGACTCTTGCAATGGTAGTGTCTTTATACCTTTGTAGATGCCGATGTCTCGAGGAGCTTTTCTTTTGCACTTCCGCTGAAGGACCTTGACCTGTGAGGAATATGTATGTGCTCGCATTTTAAGTCTAAAAAGTATTTTTCACCTCCGAAAATTAACAACACTTGAGGTGAGCTACTGGTTATTTTTTTCCTAGTTAGTATCTATTTTGGAAGATTTTAAATTTTTTATATTACTTCTTTCTGCCCCAGTTCGTTCTTAGTTAGGTGAAATAAAAATTATATCGTGGGAGGGATAAATTTTATTCGTTTACGAAAGTCAGGTCTCAAAAAAAAGAGATTTGAGAGTTTGGAAGCGCTCCAGCAAAGTTTCAACTCGTTTCTCGGTACTGGGCTTTTTTCCTTGAGATGAAATTTCGTACTTATTCATTATTTTTTTTCCAACAAAAGGTATTCTTAAAACATAATGGCGTTGTACGCAATCGCATTGTTAGAATTGCTTGAATATACTCACGAGCTAATGTTAATGGTTTCATAAATGCGTGTAGTCACCACTTACCTGAAACATAAATTTAAAAACACACATGAGACATATATACTTTTACTTTTCGAAAAAAAAAAAAAATTTTAATTAATCTCAGCTTAAAAAGCATTGTGTAAAAGTTATTTGGAAATGTTATGGTTGCAACAATAGTGTATCATTAAATGGTTGCCAGAAAAATTACAGGATGAGTTTAAGATAAAAATATCCTTGATCGTGGGTCTTAGAATTCACGAACTAACTAAATCGAAATTACAAAGAATGTATTCATTCATCGTCAAATTATTGGTTTATAAATAAAAATCTACCATCACCAGCTTTATGAAAATACATAGGATCCAAGTGCGAGTATGGTAGAAAAGAGATTTCATCGTACCGCAGAACAATGCAATTCGCCATCGATCAAGACCAGGCAGCGAAGGACGAACTTTCAATCGCAACTTTTTTTTTTCCTCGCTTTCCTTATTTTGCGTTCGGTAATTTTGCATTGGTTAACACAGCAGTGATAGAAAATTGTTCGCGAAGTCGATCGATGAAACAAGTGGAGGGGTGCGCTCGGCTGAGAAAAAAGCTGGCATCTAGTGATCAACGAAACGTTGCGAAAGTGATACCTACGTCTTACAACTAAAAAAATGCACACAAACAATGGAATAGACACTAGCTAGGATATTTCATTTACAGCTCAATATAATGCTCGTGTACTTAATCGACATTACGTAAGAGATTCTCAAAAGGCGAGTCAATGCATTATGATTTTAAACAATGGCAAGATGAGCGAAGCATCCATTTTAAGAATTTTTTTGGGCTCTGAATCGTAACTATGATTTTTCAATTGTTTAATTGTATATTAGTAGATACAGTGTACTTAATGAAAATCCATGTATACATTTACTACCGAGGAGTTTATAGATATTGCGTACAGCTATTTACACGTGATACAATGCAGCAATTCCGCATAATTAGTCATGCGACATTTGAGCTTGACAAATATCCCTGGTCCGGTAATTTATGCTCAGTATTATTTGGCGCAACGATAAATAAAAGAAACGTCCCGATAATGAAGTAATTTGCAGTTTTTAATGCTTTTGTTGGGTAAAAGTGAAAGGAAATACTATAAATCTTATCGCACGTTGCTTCACGCGGAGGGACGGATTTACGTAAACTTCGCGCCTTTTGAGCACGTATGAAATTACTGAAAATCCGCATAAATTATTAACACGCGTGAAGTATGTACCCCTCCAATATGGCACGAAGGAAAAGTTGGTGAAAAACATTTTTCAGATCCAGTTTCTCTCACGCGTGGATAGATATCAAGCGCAATCTGTATCTCTGCCGAATGGACATTAGTTGATGGTAAAAATACACAAGGTGTACGCGTATACATACGATAAGACACCTTTCGGGTTATCCGGCAGGTACCTGTTATCCTTTATCGCCTTCCATATCTCTGCTTGGCGTGTAATTGCACGTGCACTTATCGTATATACATTTATTTGCTTATCGCGAATTAAGGAATGTTTCGGGGCAATGAAATTCGCATTTTCCCCGCGAAAAAAGTCCGTGGTTACATAAATTTGTGCTTCCTCAACTCAGTTGCAGAATCGTGCTTATCTAACTGGAGCAGATATTGTACATTCGAGATATAAATTAGAAAGCCACCTTCGCATTGCCCACAAGTACATAATTAAGTATCGGTAATCGAAATTCCAAAAATATTTATTAACTACTAAACTTTTCAAACTAAACTGATTTTCCAATGACTAATCTCTAATGATAACAGTGGAACTGGAATCTTGGCTTGATTCACGCTGATTAGTCACTTTTTTACTTATTAAAATTAAGCGAGTGATAATGTCCGGTTCCCCAGTACACCACAATTTGGGAAACAAAGTGATAAGTGACTGTAGATTACGAAGCGGCAAACAATTGGCTACACGGACGCGTCGATGACGCTCGGAGGAACTTCTTAATTGGCACTAGCGCTGCTATGTAGTTGATAATACAGTTATGCAGTAGCGACCGACGTCATCGCCCTCCTGCACTTCCATCGCTTACGATTAAACGTCCACCCAACTCCATAGCCGAGCAGTCAATCCTTGGTATGGTATGTGCCCAAGAAAAATAATGATGATAATAAGTTTCGGTGGCATACATTTTGTTTTTTGCTTTTTGAAAATAAACTGCCTCGTAGTGTGAGCTTTTGCATAGTTTGTCGAGAAGGGAATAACATTACTTTTCCGCTCGCAAAACACAGTTGTGGGTCTTCGGGTTGCGGAAACGTTTGTGGGTCAGTGCGAGAAATTCCGCGCGCGCAGTTTTCCTTTAGAAAGTGCAATCACGGATAAGCAGACTTGCCGATGCTCTTGCCAACCATATAGCCGATGTTTATTATTATTCTCTATGCTCGAGAACGTGATATTATTTTCTCTGTTGTCTTTTTTTTCTTCTTCATTCATCAATCGTTATTACCGAGTCGTTGCGATGGTTCTAGAAGTTTTTTTTTTCTTTGAATAGAAGAACACGAGGGAGATAAGTAAATGTTATGTGATCGTAGAGCTGGAAATTGATGAATTTTTCGACTTTAATTTTGTAATTTAATTGCACCCTTTTTTCATTTTCCATGGGGTTTGTATCAATTCAACCGCACAAAGTTCGGTTAATAAAGTTAGTAAACATGAAAGAAGTTTTTCCATGAAATATAAATGTACTGGCTTTGAGCAAATGCTTCTTATTAAACACACTCAAATTAATCTTTAGAAGTCCATACAAAATCCTAAGATTCAGTTTTTAGGAAAGCTTATAAAACACATCGATAAAACCATCAATCCAGGATTTACCAAATCATCATATGGGAACTACCATCACGTGTACTAACATCCAGCAACTCTTTATGCCTATTAAAAAAACCCCTCGAAAAAAAGGAAGCAGAAAGCTGACTTATCGGCTCGACCGATCGAACAACGACGGCGGCGCAGCAGCACCATACAGCAGAAAGGAGAGCCGCCGAGATTCGTGAGCTTTCTACCAGATGTCCGGACTAGGCAGCCGTGGGGGGGTGGGTGGCGCCTTGCGCGCTAACAAGCCAGTATTCCTACTATATCTCTTTTCTACCGACAGGTAAGTCACGTGCACCGATCGGCTACCTGACGTAATACCACACCACCCCGGCGCCGTTGAGCTACGCATACGCTCGAACCCAATTCGCGCCTTATTCGCTTGTTTGCACCGTGTGCGAGAGTCTCGGGGTGCGAGGGAAAACCGGTACGCGATAAGCACCACGGC